AACAAACAAAGTAGAAGGAAAAAGGTGGGTAAAAAATAAAGAATTTGGTGCGGCAACAGATTATGAAGATCAAAACATGGATTGCCACTCGGGACTTGGGGCTGTTACATGATCATCGTCACTTGACTCACTTCAGCAAAATGGGAAAGTAATTAGACTCTGGAAGACTGATTTTGTCTATAATACTCCGTCTCCACTCACCCAACGAACCATATTTATCCCATTCTTTTGTGCATATTTCCCCAACTAAATCCAAACCCGTTTTCTAGCATCTTCAACTTTCACTAATCGTTTTGAAAAAAAAAAACTTTCACTAATCTAAATATTCATTAATATTTATAAATTTTAAAAAATTATTAAATAATATTTATAAACTAAAAATATGGATCAATATGTAATACAATTTACTTTTAATTTGTTGAAATCCCCTCTATATCTAATTTGAGCTGAGCCTATTTGGCAAACTCTCGTGCTTTGGAATTATATTTGGCAAAAAAATCATGGTTTGGAGTTAGGCTTGATATAAATTAATATTTTTTATCACACTAAATCCATGATTGATTTTTTTCGGATTAGTTTTCATAAATGTTTGTTCTTGTTATTTTAAGATTTTATAACTTTTTTGTTTGTATTTTAATTTTCATATATTATATATTAAATTAACTATCTTTTAGTATATATATATATATATATATAATACAAAACAATAATATATATCCTTATAAATAAAATTTAAATTTATTTATCAAACTAAATTAAATTATATCAAATAAATCTATAAATTATATTCTAAAGTAATAGAAATTAGTATGTATTCTTTTAAAAATGATATTTATCCCCCCTATATATTAATTCAGAACGTGTTGAGCCTAAGTGGCAGGCTCGCATGTTTCGGGATCCAATGTAGCAAAATTACATGGTTCGTCGGGTAGATTTTAATTTACTTCCAATCCAAAAATAATTAGGTTTACATTATCCATAAATATGTTGATTATTTATGGTCATGTTACATGTATTAATTGCATTTTAATATCATTTCTTATTATAACCAATGAATTGTAAATATATTTAAAAGTTAATAACTTTTGTATTTTTTATCAGTTTTACATATATAATATATCAAATTAATCATCTCTTGATGATTTTCTATTTAACATCTATATTTTATGCATAAAAAATTATATTTTCTTTTTATAACAATAATAAAATTATTTTTCATATTAGTTAGAAAGATAAAATTATTTATCAATTAATATATTTATATTTCAGGTAGTTATATGATATAAGTTATAAAAATTACTATAATATAACACATGTAAATCGCATAAGTAACAAATGTCATTCTAAAATATATAATAATATATATTTTTTGTAAAAAAATAAATAAAATTTAAAATAATTTTTCTCATCAATTTTACAATTTAAAAATAATTTTTTAACAAGCACTCATGTAGTACACGGGTGTTGTACTAGTTTCAAATCTAATTTCTATAACATGTCTATTTAAAGTTAGTACACAACCCGTGCGATGCAGGTAACTGATAATAAATTACATTATATTCTTTTCAAAATATGTATCATTTTAATACATTTATCCAAATTTAAATTGTGCAAAATTACATAAAACATGTCTATTTTAAATTAGTACACAACCCGTGCAATGCAGGTAGCTGATAATAAATTACTGTTAGATATGTTGTAAAAGCTTGGCTTTCAGATATGAACAATTCTATTTTGATCTGGCAATCATGTTTTAGTCAAAGTGCATATGTTTGCAGTTTATTCATTTATGCAATCATACTCCATGTCTTACATTGAGATAGTGTGGTTCGTGGTGTCTCGAACAGAAAGGTTACCTATCAGTCCCTTATAAGACTAAATTATTTGTTTACAGTCTAGATTGGCAGTGAGACCCGACTTGGAAAAAGACTGTAGTGTATTCTTGATTCAGTTGACCTTGACTGGAGAATTACACTAGTACTTATGTTAAGTATTGAACAGGACCACCTGAAGGATAAGATTATGAGACTCACTGATCGTTGTTGTAATCTATACCTTCAGTGATATATTGACGCGTTCTCTAAAGTAGTAAGATAATATAAAATAGTCGTGTACATTTATTACTTGTTTATTTGATTTACCAATGGTGATTCCTAATTTGTTAGGATGACATACTCGGTACTTTGGTAAATGAGAATGTTTATATGGCGAGCTATTATAAATTATTTATGGTCACCGTGTTCCAGTGCGATGGATTGATGACGTCCCTGAAATGAGCTCAAGAAGGATATTGTGTTAAACTCTGCAGGTGCATGTTTATCCGACACAATGATTATAGTTCTGAGTGGTACTAATTTCGGAAATGAATAAGAGGTTGATTAATTATCTTGTCACTAATTTAATTAATCGACGGATGTTATATCTTAAACAAGGGGAGGTAAATCGGTCAATTAGATTAATATTCATTAATCAAGTGGAAGTTTGATTTAATTGATTAAATTGGAGCCAAATTGGGAGAGCAATAATAATATTCTAGTGGGATATATTATTATTTCATTTTATTAGGATTTTAGGAATTAATTTTATTCCATATTTATTATTTCAAGACTTAGAGAATATTCCTTCTAGAATATTACCTAGGGTTAGGAGACTAGAGAGTCTTCTAGAAGGTGATGTTAGGAGAAAAGAATCATGACCTAGTAGGGATTAGTTTATGGATAGAATTAAGATTCCTTGGCCTAATGGGATAAACCCATATTTGGCACCTCCTTAAGATCTCTAATGGAGCCTATAAATACACCATGTCCCAACCTCTTGTACATCATCATTGAGGGCAGATTTTTCTACTTCACAAGAGAGAAAAAATTGTCTTGTTCGAGAGTTAGGGAAATTCAATTAATCGCACCACCAAGATTAATTGAAGTAGGTGTTTAGGTAATCCATTAGAAGGCTTTAAGATAATATTATTTCAAACCCCAAATCTTCATATTTTTCGGTCATCTTCCCTAGCCGACCGCCGCCGCCAAGACCTCGCCCGAGCCCAGCCGCGCACTATCGCGAGCCTCCGCCCGCAACCGCGCATAGCCAGACCTCGTGCCCAAGTCCCAGCCGCGAGCCCCAGCGACGCCGTGCCGATCGTCCCTACTCGTGATCGCGACCTCGTCCTCCTGCACATAGGAATAGCGCCCAGCGCGTCCTGCGTGATCCTGTGACTGCCCGATATGCACCCGCTATTCTTGCTCGCCCAGGACTCCGCGCGCGCCCAGGATACGCGACACGAATGCGCCCGATCCCCTCGCGCTAGCGACCGCCTGCGACCTAGACCCGTGCGTCACACCTCGACGCGCATCTGCCAGCATCCGCAACCCGCGCCAACAGGTCCCGACCAGCTGCTGTCTGCGACCCGAACCGTTGCGACCCGACTTGTAGCGCCCCATTTGTTCCGGATTATTTAGAGATTATTATTATTTATTTTATTTTCTAGATTTATTTTATTCATGCTCAATTATTGATTCCTTTGTGATTATATGCTCGTAGTTGTTTAAATGCAAAATTTTAATATCGAGCTGAATGATATCATTATTAACTTTTATGTCGATCGAACCAAGTAACCGAGTCCAGTCGGAATACCAACGTCCACGAGCCACCTCTGGAAATCCTCCTCATCCGTGCGAGTCGCCTCCAACGTTGAGCACAAGCAGACGAGTTCCCCGCCCTTAGGAATCGAACATCGAAAACCGAGCCTTTCCATGATCGAGCCGTGTTCGTATTCTCCCCTTGGTGTTTGGTATATTTGCTAGACTCCGTTAAATATATTTGTGCTAGATGTGTTCTTGTTGAAATGTGATAATATATGGTGTTGGATATTAATATGTTAAAATTATGTATTTTGTTTTTATGATAATCATGGATCTTTGGATTTTATTTTGAAACCCAAATGATCTGATGATAACTCGTGGAGATCTCATGGAATTTGGAACATGTTTGTGTCCTTGTGATGCTGGTCTTGACCTTGTGTCATTTGGAGGTGTAGATCTTAATTTATGAATTTTTAACTATTATGATGCTGCTGTGGATTGTTAAATTTGTGATAAATTGATTTGTTGTCCAAAAATTCTGAAGTTTGGATATGTTGTTCTCCTGATGCATATCGACCTTGTGTCAAAATTTCATAATTATTGGACTTCGTTCACTAAGGTAATTAATAGTTTGTGTTATTCTGCTAAAACTCGTTTTATTTATGAAAATTCGACCTGTTGTTGTAAATTGCTAAATTTTGGTTTATATGCCTATTTATGGATGTTATGCGTGAGGAGAAATGCCTAGGATTTTTGGAGTTCATATTGGTACGGTTTTGATGAAATGTATAATTCTGCAGAATTTGTTGGGATCTGTGAGAATCTCGTTATGTACAAGTCACGAATTCAATTGCAAACGTAAACCTATGCGCAGCGGATCTAAAGGTTTGACGTAGAGAACTTACGACTTAAAATTTATGTAGATCTGGTTGACCACGAACGGTTGACTGCAATTGATTAACCGCAAATCACGTCTTTGGTTGCACGGACAAGATCAGATCAAAATCGGATCAAACAGATGCAAACAGATCAAAACGAAACTTCCAGCCTGGGAGTTTCTGACGGTGCGTGAGGGCGCGTGCGGCGTCGGAATCCGGCGATCTCGGGTGCGATGGAAAGCTCTCATCAAGATGGTCGTCTGGGTATGCTGTGCGTCTCAATTGGACCTCCGGTTAGTTCTGTAAGACAAAACATATTTCGTCTCGGTTTACCTACGAATCTTCTACTGTATTACTCAATACACTCTTCTTCAACTTGTACCAGTGGAGCAACAAGTAGAAGATAAATCTCGTATGAGATCTAGAGAGAGAGAGGTGTGGGACGTCTCACGTTAGAATAGGAATTATGTTCTCTTCTCATGAGCTTAATGACGTATATATAGAGTTACAGTAGGGACCCTTAAGAGATCAGAAAAATGGCTCCTTAATTAATTAGACTAACTGTAGGCCAAGCGCACTCTTCTAATTAATTAAATAATATTAATGGGCCACCAACATTACATTATTGCACTCCCTTTTCCTAGCCCAAATTACATTTGAGACTCCAATAATAGTTACTCGATTTACCTCCCCACGTTTAAGATATAATGTCCATTAATTAATTCGATTACTGACAATCAAGAATTAATTAATTTATTATTATTTCACCGAAGCTAGCGCTCGTTCATCACATTCTTATTATGCCGGAACTTAATCCACTTGCAGGGTTTAACATAACAATCCTTCATGAACTCACTCCGGGGACATCATCAAACTAACGCATATGGTGGCCGTAAATATCCTAACAGCACATCTTATATATAATAATATTACCCAAAATAGTAGGAATATTAATCCAGCGAACTGAACCTCACACATGTGAATCAAAGTAATATATATTATATATATTTGCCTGTTTAATATCTTACGAGTTAAGAGAACGCAGTAATTAACCGAGGCCTAGTTCATTTACGACGATCAGTATAAAATGAACTTCTCCTCGTTGGGATCCTGTTCAATACATAAATGCACTAGTGCAATTTATCAGTCAAGACAAACTGTACAGTTGACACTACAACCGTTCGGATGGGGTGTTCATGTCCATCTAGGTTGTGAACAACTATTCTTGTTCCCAAGCGACTGATAGAGTGATCTTCGATTCGCCCGATGACGACCCACCCTATCTAATTGCAGAACAACAGAATGTAGAACTTGTTTAATCTAACACGATTCTCATTCATAAAGGGCAAAAGTGTAATAACATGCAAACCCGAGCTTTCGGTATATAACACTAACAGAATTTTGTTACAATTTTCATAATTCGCATGTTTAATGTTTAAAGCTGAAATATTTATATGTTGATATTCACCTGCTGAAGTTGCTTGTGTAAAAATTTCAAATGTTAACTCATTCATTTGATCAGGCTTTGAAAGTGTGCTTATTTTTGCTGAAAACTTGTTTTAATTTTATAAAATCGCATGTTCAAGTGATATGGCTGAAACTTGGTTATTTTGATATACTCAGTGATGTCTATTACGTGTTCAAATATCAAATCAAAATTCGTTCATTTACCTGGTCAACTAGAAAATGAGGGTTAATTGTCAATTTGCTCGACTTATTGGTTGAATATGTTAACATTGGAATTTTCAAATGAATTTTGATATATGAGGTCCCCGCATCATGCTTTGTAAGTGGTTTGAAATTCATGTTCATTGGCTGAGTGTATTATGAGTTAGTCTTTTTATGTGTTTTTTCTTTTTGGTTTGAGTCGAGTCGACTGTTCCATAATTCCACGAGAATCTTCCACGAGCCACTTTGTCGATGGATTCGACTAAGTTTGTGTGATCGTTGGATTAGTTGTAATCGAGAGTTATCTTGATTTCGTGTAGGTGTTATAAGGTGTTGACCTCAAATCCTACCTTTTGAATCTTGTATTGTGAATTTATCGCTGCAATCAGGTGGGTACATTTATGTTGTATCTATAACTGTCGCACTTGTTATTTCGTATAAATGTTTCCCTCGATATCTTTTGTATGCATGAGAACCCTAGTTTAGGTGTCCTGTTGATAGTGCCTTTGACGTTGTATCCGAAATGGGAAGGTTTCCAGTTACATCCTTGCCGATGTCTGGTCGGAAGGTTTGTTGTATGTACATAGGAGGTTTGCGATAAGGCCAAGTAGAGAGTTAGACCTAGATTCTATGCATACATTATTTATGGTTTTGAATCTTTATGCGGGATATACTATGCGATAATGGTGAGCATAATGCTTTGCTCACCCCCATTTCTTTTCTCTTTGTCTCCTCTTCCTCTGTATAGGTTGAGCATGGCTGGCGGCGGCGGCGGCTGCGTGAAGACGATCGAGTGGTGGTCATTAGTTGATGTGTATTTTGCTTCCGCCCATTGCTATCTATGTTGAACTACTTGTTTTTATTTTGGATTGTTTATGCTTCCTCTTTGAACACCATGATTATGTTTGGATGAACCGTTGATTCATGTTAAACTTTCTGAATGGTTTTGAGACTTATGAATAAATTGGTTTTATTTTATAACTGTTAGTTTATGCATGTGTAGGTTCTATCTATTTGTTCGTATTTGTTTAATTGTTGCCGGTAGTTAAGTAGCGCCTGTTAATTATTAAAGTTTTAAATTGGGATTTTGCGAAAAATTAACTCTGATTTTTATAAATAAATTCGGTAAATTCTTTAAAATAAAATGGGGCGTAACAGTGTGGTATCAGAGCTAGTCTGCGTTTCTGTAGACTATCTCTAATGTTAGTTTATTTAATGACCATTCGACCACTCGCTTTCGTCTCGCCGCGCCAGCTCAAGGTATGAGTTTTATTGTTTTGCTTATCTTATATGGGGCTTAGGAATTTATCCACCATTGATTTATTTTGGACTCTAGTGTTTAATGATAAACTCTAGAAATTATTATTGTGCTAAACTTTTCGGTCTGTACAGTGTAGAACTATGGCTCATTGTAACACTCGCAACACCCACAAACCGTCAGGCAACCCCGCCTCCATCCCCACCTCATCAGCAGGCTCCGCCTAATCCGAATCTGGACTTTTCGAGACTCTTAGTCCAATTCCAGAGCATGCACCCACCCAACTTCTTGGGGACCGAGGAACCCACCGCGGTTAGCAGCGTCAAACGGGCCGGTCTGGTCCGGCCCGCTCTGGCCCGTGGTTCAAACAGGGCGGGCCAAAATGACCCGCATTTCTACAAGCTGGGAAATCCATGGCCCGTGGCCCTCCCTCATTAGCCCGCAGGCCACATCGGCTCGCTCGCGGGTTTTTTGGTATTATGCACTCTTATATACTTTTTGGTTTGACTATCCTTACATTTACTAGTATATTAATAAACCAGTAAGGCTTCATGTGTAATGATGTTAAGTATTTGTCATCCATTTAATAGTTATAGAAGTAAAATAAGAAATACTAAATTGAAATAATATAAAATTAACAAATAAATAAATTTTTAAAAAATGGGTTGGACCGCGGGCCAGCCCGCTTTAGACCGTGGGCCAAACGGGGCGGGCCAAATTAGCCCACGATTGAACGGGCTGGCCAAGCAAAGGCCCAAGCCCGTCCATTTAGGCAGACGGACGGGCCAGCCCGCGGGCCATGGCCCATTTTGACAGTGCTAACTGCGGTG